TGATCACTTCAACTGTTCTCTGGACTACCGTAATTTCTTATTACTTGCAGCAATTAACACAAACCACCCCCCTTCGGGGTTGACTGTCTGTATTTTGTCTTCCCCACTGCAAACCAAAATGTGATTGAGGCAAGTCTCAATCTACAGAGATTTATTTAGCCAAGGTTGAAGATGCACGTGGGAAAAAATACAGATCGCAGGAGTATCTATGACCTATGCTTTTTCCAAACGAGGTTTTGGGAATGTTAGCATTTAAAGGGGAAAGAACAAGGAGGAGGAAAAAGAAAAGAGAGGAGCATAGTCAGTAAGGCAAATTATTACATTTTTTTTTTTTTTTGAGACGAAGTGTCACTCCATTGCCCAGGCTGGGGTGCAGTGGCATGATCTCGGCTCACTGCAACCTCCGCCTCCCAGGTTCAAGCAATCCTCCTGCCTCAGGCTCCCAAGTAGCCGGGATTACAGGTGCCCGCACCACGCCCGGCTAATTTTCGTATTTTTAGTAGAGACGGAGTTTCACCATGTTGGCCAGGCTGGTCTCGAACTCTTGACCTCAGGTGATCTGCCCACCTGGGCCTCCCAAAGTGCTGGGATTATGGGAGTGAGCCATCACGCCCAACCTAGATGGCTACATTCTTGTGAGGTTCTTATGAGCCTCAGCAAATCTACATTTTACATAAGATAAAGTGAAAACAGGGAGTAGAGGAAATGAGGCTATGACGTGGGATTGTGAAATTACAGCTGTCTGTTTGGGAACAAAAGGAAAAGCAGTTTTTGCGTGATTCAGTTCCCAAACCAAACTTTCCCTATGGCATAGTTTGGGGTTCCAAGATTTTTTTCTTTCACAACCACAAAATTCCTTAAGGGAAGGGACATATCTCACAAACGTTTATATCTACCGTTTTCTCCCTACCCGCCCCCAATCCAAGCACTTAAAATACAATAAAATGGGACAGGAGTGGTGGCTGATGCCTGTAATCCCAGCATTTGGGGAGGTCAAGGCAGGCCAACTGCTTAAGCCCAGGAGTAAGAGACCAGCTTAGGCAACAAGGCAAAACTCTGTTTCTAAAAAAATAAAAATAACGAAAATAGGCCAGGTACAGTGGCTCACGCCTGTAATCCCAGCACTTCAGGAGGCCAAGGTGAGTAGATCACGAGGTCACGAGTTCAAGACCAGCCTGGCCAACATGGTGAAACCCGTCTCTACTAAAAATACAAAAATTAGCTGGGTGTGGTGGTGGGCACTTGTAATCTCAGCTACTTGGGAGGCTGAAGCAGGAGAATTGCTTGAACCTGGGAGGCGGAGTTTGCAGTGAGCAGAGATTATACCACTGCACTCCAGCCTGGGTGACAGAGCAAGACTCCATCCAAAAAAAATAAAATAAAATAAATAAATAAAATTTAAAAATTAAAAATTAGCTAGATGTGGTGGCTCATACTTGTAATCCAAGCACTTTGAGAGGCCAACGTGGGTGGATTAGCCGAGGTCAGGAGTTTGAGACCAGCCTGGCCAACACGGCGAAACCCCATCTCTATTAAAAGTACAAAAACTAGCTGGGCATGGTAGCATGCACCTACATTCCCAGCTACTCGAGAGGCTGAGACAGGAGAATTGCTTGAACCCAGGAGGTGGAGGTTGCAGCGAGCCCAGATTGCACCGCTGTACTCCAGCCTGGGTGACAGAATGACTCTGTCTCAAAAAAAAACTAAAAAAAAAAAAAAAAAAAAAAAAAAATCATAAC